CCCCCCCCACAAGTCTATGATCTGCATAATATATATACCCAGTATTCACTGTGTACTTGAAATTTTAAATGGTAAGTGAACAGAAAACTGGCCAAAATAGAAACAAGAATGCATTTTCCAAACTCAAATACTCACTGTAACTTATTTTAACATTCTACATAGTACAAAAATTACAGTTGCAGTGCCATTGGAATTATGAGCTGCACATGAATTTATTAAAGGGGTCATTTGCAAATTACTCACAAAATGAGCTTTTTAGGCCCCCCTCTTCCCTCCATCACAAATTCTTACACCCCCCCCCCCCTTTAGTGTCACGTCACACCTAATAAAATCAAAACATGTCACACCTATAAAGATCAAAACATACATAAAATTTTCATAATTATTTAACATTTTCCCATAACGCGCCGAATGTAAAATGGCCACAACAGTTTTTGCGCAAAAGGTGTGCGCGACTGAGGTTCATGTTACCTATAATACCTGAGGCAATTTCAACCTCAAATTAATGTTTTTAAAATTAATTGAATAAAGATTTTTTTAAAAATTAGAAAATTTTAGATTTAAAAAAAAATTGTTTTAAATTGTGACTGCACACATTTGCAAATGACCCCAAAGGGTACACAAATGGCCTCCAGTCTAGAATAAAATATTTTTTTTTACTTCTCATGATAAAAATTAAAAGGGTACGAAGATTGTGGATAAATAAATGTTCATTTAAATGTCGCACAAGAAAGCATGATCAATTTTTTAATTCTGGAGGTCTTCATAAATATCTTCTTTTTTTTTAAAGTTCACCCAGTGATATTAAACTGGGAACAGTGCTTTTTTTGTGTGCATTTTTAAACAGGGCAAACTTTATCAGTAGCTCCTTTTCTTGTAAACAAGAGCGATTACATGTTGCAAAGTTTCAAAAGAATTGAAGACAGAAAAAAATCTTGAACATTTTAAAAATACAACAAAAAAATCTGAAGAACTATACAATAATTTTATTAACATTTTATTTCTCTATTTTCCAAGCGTAATAATGTAATAATCACAAAATATATTTTGATATCTTAATACATTATACAAAAAGTTGTAACAAGTAAAATAACACATTTTAGCATATTTAACTGTATGCATGAGTTCTTTTTATTTATCATTTTTTCTTAAATATAATCTTTAAAAAAAAACAAAAACAAAAAAACTATTATTCAAAATAAGAGAATCAAAAGGATGGCATCAGTTTGAAACATTAAATTTAAGAAATCTACTTCTCTAAAGACTATATTTTAAATAACTAAGAAAGACCTAGAACTCTGCAATTATTTAGGAAAAGAAAGGTGAATTTATCTAGGTCAGATTTACCAATGAACTTTAAAATTAACTGGGAGAATAATGATTTTAAAGGGAACTTTTAATTTATTCAATGGCAAATAATTACAAAGAAAATATTTTAAGACTCAAAGAATAAAATACCAAATAATTAATTTTTTAAACATTAAGTATATTGTTCTTTTTGTGTCATCCCAGTTTCAACAATGGAACCAAGTCCCAGTACATACATTTTTTAGGACTTCAAATAGATAAAATGATAATAATGCCCATACTAGGAGGTAAAAGCAAATTGCAATTAAAGGATAAAACAATAATTTCGTTTCTTTTAAAATGCAATGAATCTAAAAAGTTAAGATCAATTATGCAAGACTAAAAATCAAGTAGTTAAGTCTTTTAAAGACATAACAAAACTCTAACTCAGCATAATATATTTATGTTTTCTTTTTAAAAAATCCCAATTTAAAAAAAGAACTGCATGAAATGCTTTCATTTAAATTAATGAGACCAATTTTCATTATTGCAATTTAAAACTTTCACACTGACACCAATTGATTAAAACAAAAGGAAGATGATGTTTATTCTTTGAAATCAATGGGAATCTGTGTCTCCTTTGGTGCTTCTATTGCCTTTTTTTGCACTTTGATGTTGAGAACTCCATTTGTGTTGATGGCAGATGTTATTGACTTGGGATCAACATCCTGAATTTAAAAAAAAAATAAACAGATCATGGTTGTCACTTTCATGATTTTGGACTATTGCGCCCCCCCCCCCCCCCCCC